ATATATATATATATACACTATTATTATTTATTATTATTATTATTATTATTACAACAGGCAAGCCTGCATTACTACTGTACCTTGGCCCCTTCTCTATTTTAACACATTTTAACACCAAATCTCAATCTTTTATTGTAAACTATCATTTTAATCATACCAATTTTTATGATATCCCAGAGTTTCATATTACAGTTATTTTAAGTAATGACCATTTTTAATTATCCTTTTAATACTTATTTGAAATTGAACTGAATTTTTAGTGTCTATTACACCGTACTGTGTTTTTTATGTGAATATCTGATGTTTCATATAAAACAAATTTCTAGTGTAATGTACGTAATGTATGTATAATGTAGTGTAATGTTTCTAGTGTCTGATATGGAAACATATTTCCCCCCTAAAATTTTACCTTGCCCCTCACCCCCCAGATCTCAGACGCTGGTGCCGCCATTGACCACCATTTTCTGTAGCTCTGATTCTCCTTGTCGAATAGTTTCTTGCTCTCCACACTTCATTGCCCTTCTACCTAAAAAAATATGCAATCCAAATACATTATATACACCGTATAGCACAGGGGCGATTATAGGGGTGAATCAGGCTGGCCCTGGCCTGCCCTTTTGTTGGAAAATAAAAAGAAAGAAAGAAAGAAAGAAAGAAAGAAAGAAAGAAAGAGAGAAAGAGAGAAAGAGAGAAAGAGAGAGAGAAAGAGAGAAAGAGAGAAAGAGAGAAAGAGAGAAAGAGAGAGAGAGAGAGCGCGAGCGCGAGAGCGAGAGCGAGAGAGCGAGAGAGCGAGAGAGCGAGAGAGCGAGCGAGCGAGCGAGCGAGGGAGGGAGGGAGGGAGGGAGGGAGGAAGGAAAGGAAGGAAAGGAAGGAAGGAAAAGAAAAACTTGATCTCTCAAAATAACCTCAGAGGTTATTTTCGTGCATCTAGAAAACAAACGTTTTGCGGGGCATTCCCCCGGACCCCGCAGGGTGGCGAATTCTCAATCGGCCTCACTTTCAGACATCTCTGGATCCGCCCCTGTATTTAGTCTGGTAATGCACCGATTGATTAAATTGGTTAAAATTAAAAGTCCTGGATTCAATTAATGATAAAAACTATTTTCTAAGCCTCATATTACTAATCTCATTAGGCATTGAATTTACGTAAGATCACAAAGAAAAAATTATTAGATTATCATTCTTTTTTTTTTTAAATTGATGAAGGAGGACGGGTTTTTTTTTTTTGTAATTGGTACAATAAATTATTTCGCTTTTTTTTTTTATCAATGAGGGAGGGACTGTTTATATTTGGCCTGTACCCGGGCCTGTTATAGTAAATATTGTATAAAAACTGGTTTAATTTTATAGTTTTTTAAAGAAAAGTCACAAAATTGCATTGTTATTTTATGCTATTGAAATAATTTATGTGGCAAGAAAAATTTAAAAAAAAATTCCCGTATCAATATTTCCCCGAATTTTTGATGCGGGCGGGAGTGATAATCTAATAAATTTTTCTATTTGCACTAATAAGAGTCATTTAACAATGTGACAATAAGTTACACTTACGTTTTTTAAGCAGATGAATTGTAAGACATATACCAACTGCACAGGGAAATCCAACACAAACTGACACAATTACTGCAACAAATAATGAAACAATTTATTAATAAAATTATTTATTTTATTATTTATTATTTATTTATAAAATATTTCTGGAATGATTATGTTGATGATGATTATGATAATAATAATGATGATAATGATGTTTTAAAGATGACAATGAAACTAAACTATTATACTAATATGGAAATGTATTCAACATAATGACATATTTATAACTTACTGATATCTCTGTTTTTGTTTTTAACCTGTATTTGTTTATTATTTTCCGCAGTGGTGTTTTTACTCTCTGAAATGCAAACATAGTGTTATCATAATTTTGTTTTACTACACACAATCACAGATGAAAATAAATAATAAATGACAATATCGAATCAAATTGACTCACCTGTTTTGGTTAAACCAATCTCTTGTGAAGGCGTGACTGACTCAACTGAAAATCAAGACATCTTTGTTTAACTTTTATTACTATTATTAGTACTCTAGCCTACAACAGTCAAATCCAAACCTAACGATCACAATATCGGATTAGCATGTCAGGGATTCAGCGTGCATCAGATACAAGGTAAATACAAACTTTATACAATTCATTGAGAGGATGATAATGTTGTTACATTATATATTACAATGCAATACATTCTAAATTTTATTTCAATGACAATGCTGTATTCGCTTTTTGCTTTTGAGAATTCATAACAAGTTCACATAATAAAACAAACTCACCAGAGGTACAGCTTTCAGGGCATTTCTGTGTATAAATTTTTTTATCAGGATCACACAGAACCCGGCAGCTTTCACATGTCTGGAGAAACTTTTCACAATAGTAATTTGGTGGGCACGTTTTTGGACAGTCCCTCGTTTCATTAGTCCCATAAATTACATCTGCAGTTGGACAAATACAATTATAATTACTTACTGTAGTGTATATAAAGTCTGCTATCATAAAAATGATTAAATCATTGATTTGACAGACATTTTATTATATGAATCTTTAAATTTGTTGCCAGGATTTTTAGGGTAGTACAGGTATGCAAGGAATGGTATCAGTGTCTGTTAATTGTCTGTCACAGCTATAAAAGCATGCATGATGGTAACATTTTTTTTTGGGGGGGGGGGGTCGGCTAAAGTCGGTTTAGTACCCTCTATTGGCTCCTGTAAAATATTCTTTTATAAAGCAAAAAATATACTCAAAAATGACAACTTACGTGGACAGTGTGACTGACAGTCATCCGGGTTGGCAAAATCGCTTTCCAGGTCACAGAAAATACCACAAGGTTCGCAAGCTTGAGAGTTTTCGTTACAGAAATGTTTGTTGTCGCATCTTCCATTGCACTGATCAGTTAATGAATCAACGTTCTTAGACAAAAACAGTGTCAGTATACAAAGAGTTTTCTTCAGCACAGACCAATAATTCATTACTGCCATTTTTTTTACTGATGATAGGATCTATCTATATAAAATGAAAAAGACATAAATATTTACTATATATAAAAATTAATAATCATTATTAGTGTATAATTATTACATGAAAGTTTTTCACATTTCTGGCACACATCTTGAGGAATGATACCTCATATCAGGGGCGGATTTAGGGGGGGAGCCGGCCCGGCCCCGGCCCCCCCTTTTGGGAGGTAAAAAAAGGGAAAAAAAAGAAAAAAAAAGAAAGAAAAGAGAGAAAAAGAAAAAAATGATAGCCCAGAATGCCTCAAATGTTATGTTCGGGCGTCTAGAACACAAAAATTTCGCGGGGGCATGCCCCGGACCCCCTGCGACAGTGTTGTCTCAATCGGCCCAACTTTCGGCCCCCCCTTTTGGACATTTCTGGATCCGCCCCTGCATATCTACCACTGAATACATTAAGTTACTCAGTATAGGTTATATCATCCCAATGTGAACTTAAAAATATGTACTTCTGGGTCTATTTATTAAAATGGTAGCAGGTAAAAACGGCAATAAACCAAAACGGCAATACCCAAAACTGCAATAACCAAAACAGCAATGATAACAGCAATGATAAGTACCAAAATGGCAACAGACCAAAACGGCAATGACATATACCAAAACGGCAATGACAAATACCAAAACGACAATATACAAAGGAGCAAAATCAATGCCAAGAGCAAGCGCCGCAAGGCGCGGGACGAACTGTTTCTGTCTCATTATGTCTGTATTGTAAAGTTTTATTTATTTGGATGTTTATGCTGTTATATTGTTTTTCTCCTAATCATTTTATTATTGAATTTGTGTTTTTCTATTGTTGTTATTGTTGTTATTAGTAGTAGTAATAATAATAATAATATGACTATTATTATTGTTATTATAATTATTATTATTGTTATCATTATAATTATTATTATTATTATTAATGTTTTTTAGCATCTTTTACTTTTATGACAAACTGTTTTAGCCTCACTTTGTATTTTAAAGTTTTATTTATTTGAATGTTTACTGCATTTTTACGTCTATGACATACATTGCTGTAGCCTCATTTTGTGTGTATTTTAAAGTTTTATTTATTTAATTGGTTTTTTTACCATTTTAACTTACTGCCGTTTTGGTTTATTGCCGTTTTGACTAGAAAGCATTAAAATAATGATGGTGGTAATAATAATATGTACGTTATATTTAGCTCTCTACAAAGTCTCAAAGAGCTTTTCAAATAACTAACCCCCTTGTGTGTGGAGAAATTCCATTTGCTGCATGAAATATCTGCTCATCTTGAACCTCCTCAGGTACCCATTGCTAGGTGGATAGTGAAAACTTGGATTAAGTGTCTTGTCAAAGGACACAAGCACCTTCCATATTGCATTTATTTATTTATTTATTATTATTATTATTAGGAAAAGTAAGCTAGGCTAGTCAGTGTAGTGACCTTTAATTTTAATTTTTTAATATAAATACTACAGAATTATTTTATCTTTAGCATAGATACTGTAGTATTGTCAACGAACTGTTGAAAATGTCGAAAAACATATAAATAAGGAATCCTCACGGTAAGTCATACGTTGGAAGCCAAGGGAAGGCTAGTCCCTCCAGTTTTAAAGCTAGTCTAGGGGGCCTGGTAAATGAGGTCTAGCAAGCTAGCCTAAACACGACACGGTTCCTTTCTATTCTAAATCTAACCCTCACTTTTCTTCCATACCGTACCGTATACATGATACTGTAACTGCTGTATTAGTAGTAACTAAGAGTATTATATAAATAGGCTAGATACTACTCACACCACATACGGTTTTGCTGAATTCAAGGAGCTGCTCTACTCCACCGATGATAAAAATACCATTTTCAGTAATTGTGAATGGACGATGGGTCGACACTGACAACCTCCTTTCACGCAGACAATTTTTAGAATGTCGTCAGAAAGTAGGCCTAGCCTAGTGATTGCGCAATCTTTAGCCCTATGTATTCTTTTTTTAGCTCAGTGGAAATTTGATAATGACATATAAATACCACTACGGGGAATCCCCACACACAATCCTCAAGAAGAACCAATGGTACCCCCTCATGCGGTAGCTGTGGACGCGTTCGTGTCCCAAACCATACATTAATTTGCCACATTATGTTTTTTAATTCAAATTTTAAATTAAAATATGATAAAATAATAAAGTTGAATATAAGCCTATAGGCGCCTATACCATAGCNCCTCAAGCTGTCTCTTATACACATCTAGATGTGTATAAGAGACAGGCTATGGTATAGGCGCCTATAGGCTTATATTCAACTTTATTATTTTATCATATTTTATCACCTCGTTGTTTCAATGTCAAGCATGGTAACACCACAAATACTGTAGTAAGAAATATTTCCTATAAAAAACGCAGCAACATCTTTTACTTATGTACAGTACCGTACTGTACAACTGGTTTTTATTTCCATCATCATAAAATAACGTATTCTTTGTATTCACATTAGCTGCTTATTAACTGAAATTATTTATTTGTGGAAAATACACTTTAAATATACGATGTTTTCAATAAATGGCCTTTGTGGTTGGTTGAAGGGAAAAAAAAAACACGTTTCTTTGAGGATGACCTACCATTAATGCATTTCTGTGACGGTATAACACATAAAAATAATAGCCTACAGGTAAAAGAACTGGTTTATGACTGGTCTAACAATATCCTGTGCGTTATTTACATTGTGGTCACAGGATAAAAAAAAATAAATAAAAAGGTATATTATACAGTACGGTACTGTAGATTAGAAAAGTGGAAATATAAAATATATAATGGCATGCAATGACGGGAAAATATTGATATGATGGGCAGCAGAAAGAGTGGAAAATGGAAGCAGACCAAGAGGAAGACCCAGAAAGAGATGGATGGACTGCATCAGACAAGATGGAAGACTGGTGGACCTAGAAGCAGTCATGGATCGTACCAGATGGAGGATGATAATGAGACGACTGGACCCCATGAGGGGACAAACAGGATGACGATGATGATGATGTTGAAATATGAAATACATACACGAGTGTAATCTAATAGTGTATATGTAATTGCTGTTGGCCTACCACCGAGAGACTTTATTTATCTTGTGTTCTTAATATCACTGTATTATTATTCTTATATTATTATTATTTTAACAATATTTACATACGACAAGCATACATATCCATATTGAATTAGTTTTTTGTTTGTTGAATGTTTTGATTTTGATTATTTTTGCTCGTAGTATGTTTCAGTGTCTTAAATGTATTACAGTATGAAATGTTTATGGAATTGTATGTATTCTGCAGCTGCGGTGGTGAACATGTATGACGAGTTGATCTATATTATATATGAAGAAGTCTTGTCCACGTGTTTTGAAACATAGAATATATAATATAGCGTAACAGTAATGAAACTCAAATACGTAAGATGTTGACTTTAGAAACACTAAAATTTATTGGGAAAAATATGAAATATAAATTTTAGTGTTTCTAAAATTCAACATCTTACATATTTGAGTTTCATTATTGTTACGCTATATTATATAATATATATATATATTCGTTGAAACAAACAATTACGACAAATCATGTAAACTACCGGTATCGAACACTGTATTTATTTTCGAAAACTTACAACTATAC